GGTGTCCTGTGGTCCAACAAATCAAAATTATGAATGCAGCATCCGCCAGGCTAAAAAGGAGAGGGACCACCCAGCTTATTATTAGTGCTCAGTTCAAAAGCCAGTATCCATGATGGTATGGGGCTGCATTAGTGCACATGGCATGGGTGACTTGCACATCTGTGAAGGCATCATTAATTAAATATGCTGCAATCCAGACAACGTCTTTTTCAGGGAAGACCTTGCTTATTTCAGCAAGACAACACCAAACCACATTCTGCATGTATTACAATAGCATGGCTCTGTAGTAAAAGAGTCTGGGCACTAATCTGCAGTCCAGATCTGTCACCCATTGAAAACATTTGGCGCATTATGAAATGAAAAATATGACAAAGGGGACCTTGAACTGCTGAGTAGCTGCAATCCCGAATTAAGCCAGAATAGGAAAACATTTCACGTTCAAAAATACAGTAATTGGTCTCCTCAGTTCCATAACACTTACAGAGTGTTGTTAAAAGAAAAGGTGATGCAAAACAGTGGTTGGTAAACATGCCCCTGTCCCACCTTTTTTGAAATGTGTTGCTGGCATCAAATTTGTGAAAAGAGGCTGTGTCGAATGTGGCAAATTAATGTTTGGAAATGTTAGTATCTGAGTGATAATTAGTTTACTTACATTACATGAATCTTATTGAAATTCAACTGCTTTGAATGTTTATATATTATATTATATACTTCTCTGATTGTTTACTTTGGGCGCCTTGGTTGTGTTAGGCTGTGTTCCGATGGCAGAGTGTATTCTGCCCAAAACTTCATTTTATGGCAGGATGTATATTCCACTGGCTCCGCTCATTCTGCACAAGAATGGGTTTTTTTCCATTTTGATCGTAACTTCAGCAGCAAAGCTCCACTCATCATGTGTCTCTTTTCATGCCGTAACCAGTCAAAAATTAGGGCAGATGAAACTAGAGAGCAAATGTAAGGTTGAACATTACTTTTAGCCACATTATGTACCTTGCTAGATGTGATTAGTGAGTTTTTTGTAAGGTTGGGCTACTTCTGTAGTTCTAATTGCCCAAAGCTATCTATAGATTTCATTTTAGGAAGACTGTGGACCCAAATACAATAGGCTTGATTTTTTTTTCTCTGGTGAATGACGTAGTGGTGTTTAATATATGAAGGACCATCAAATAAAATATAATTACTGTATTAGACAAGCACACAGGCTAAATAATAGAGCAGTAGGAAGACAGCACAGAGCCAGTAATGTCTTTGAATACAAGAAATACTCAAAGAAGTTGTTCCCCTAAGTCTAAATATATTCTAATTTCATTTATTTTTGTTTGCGTCTCATGATAGTAGGTGAAAATCCTGTGAGACTGAGAAAAGCATCATTCATTCTCCTTTATTTGAATTGAGTGTCTAGATGTGTGGGATAATTACGTTCTTTCAACAGTAATACTTTAAGTATATTTCAGAAATGGGTTAATTCAATTAACAGAAACTTCGTTTGTTTTCTTAATACTTTCAAGAGCCTGCTGTACTGTATTCTGTAATCAACCACTGGCTCTGTTTTTCAGATCCAGCAGAAAGTGAAGGATCATTGGATGGCAGAGAGAACCACACTGACCTGGAGACTGAAGCCAGATGGAAACATCTTTCACAAGAAGAAATTCTCCATATATACCAATAACTGTGGCTGAAATATAACTCATTTATACACGCACTGTCCACTTTATGAGAAACACTTACTTCATCCTACTGTTCATGGGCCACTTTTCAAGATCCACCTAACTCAAAGCTTTGTTCTACAACCCAGTTTCCAAAAAAGTAGGAACGCTGTGCAATGGCATATAAATCATGAATCATGATTTATTTCATTTGTTGTACAATAACATGTCATTTGTTGAAATTTGGAATTTTTATTGTTTTTTGGTAAATATATGCCCATTTTGAATTTGATGCCAGCAACACAATTCAAAAAAGTTAGGACAGGGGCATGTTTACTACTGTGTTGCATCACCTCCTGTTTTAACAACACTCAGTAAGTGTTTGGGAACTGAGGAGACCAATTACTGTAGCTTCAGAAGTAAAATGTTTTTCCATTCCTGCTTGATACAGGATTTCACCTGCTCAAAGGTTCAGGGTCTCCTTTGTCATGTTCTTTGTTTCATAATGTGTCAAAAATCTTCAATGGGTGACAGGTCTGGACTGCAGGCAGGCCAGTTTTGCACCTGAACTCTTTAAGTACAAAGCCATGCTGTAATATATGCAGAATGTGGTTTGGTGTGGTCTTGCTGAAATAAGCAAGGTCTTCTCTGAAAAAGATGTCATCTGGATGGCAGCATATGTTGCCAGAAACTGTATATGTCATTCAGCATTAATGGTGACTTCACAGATGTGCAAGTCACTCATGCCATGTGCACTAATGCACCTGCATACCATCACAGATGTTGGCTTTTAAACTGTGCACTGATAACAAGCTAAATGGTCTGGAAGACACAGTGTCCATGATTTCCAAAAAGAATTTCATATTTTGATTCATCAGAACACAGGACACTTTTCCACTTCTCCTCAGTCCATTTTAAATGAGCGTGGGCTCAGAGAAGGTGGCAGCATTTCTGGATCCTATTTTTATATGGTTTCTTTTTTGCATGGTAGAACATGGTATTAACTTATACATGTTATTCTTGTATTGTAGTATTGAACCCCTCATCATCTTTTACTTCTGAAAGACTCAGCCTTTCCGAGATGCTCTTTTTATACACAATTTATTTTACTGACCTGTTGACCATTAACCGCTAGGTGTTTTTTATCATTACACAACTTACCAGCCTTTTGTTGTCCCCGTCCCAACTTTTTTGAAACATGTTGATGGGATCAAATTCAAAATGAGCTTATATAAAAAAAAAAACAATAAAATTTCTCAGTTTCAACATATGATATGTTGTCTTTGTATTATTTTCAATTCAATATAGAGCTTAAATGATTTGCACATCATTGTATTGTTTTCATTTACATTTTGCACAGCGCTTTTGGAAATGGGGTCGTATAGCTTTATATCTTCTTTTATCATCTTTTTTATCTGTCTTTTTATATGTTTTTGTAATTTAATCATGTTTCTTCAGGCCATTTTCTAAGTTGTTCATTGTACTTGAGTATTAAAGTCAGCTTCAGATGATGGTAATCTAATCATTTAGCATGAGCCGTTTTCATGAGGTTTGCATCCTAATGGCATTTGAGAAAACCTTATGGGCTCTCCTGATATGCAATATATTTAAAGACAAAATAAACAAAAAACATTTGAAATGGGCTAATGTGTGCCATTTTTGTTATAATGTTTAATAGAAATTTTTGACAATGTCATATCGATGTTCTGAACTTGGGGTTCCAAGCAAAGGAAAGCTTCTGAGATAATCACCACATGGAAACCCTCAGGGCCTTCTAGGCCTTATGATTGAAATTAAAAATACATGTCTTCAGTGTTTAGTTTATTTTTATTTGATAGAATAACCATGCTTGTTGTATTTATCTGCAAGTACTGTAGTAATTAAATAGTTGGAAACACAGGGTTAAATTTTATGCCCAATACAATATTATCCAATAGGGATTGTTTTTTTCTATGGTGTCTAGGTAGATTAGAGCCAAGTGAGCTCTCTCACTGGTTAGGACTTCAGGAGCTGGACCGAAGGCCTTACACGTTAGATTAACTACCATTTTTGACATTTTGACATTTATGGCCTGAACTAATAGTCACGGTTCATCACTACCATTACACTATTTTTATTTTTCTGTTATGTTTAAACTGAAATATTTATTTTACAAAGGCAGTTGAGAAAGTTTTGTTTCATAATTTATTTCTTTATTAGCAAAATTACAAAATATCCTACAGCATATACATGACAGACGATACATTTACAAATACACTTATTCCAAAGTCTTTACATAAGTACACATAGTTTACACTGGGCCATCTGTCCTCTAATCTGTACAAATGTATGTGTATGTAACCTGGGACAAACAAGAATGTTGGTGGGTGTATTTGAATTCTTTGAGGAGCCTTCAGTGAAGAGTAATTTTCAGTTAACAGTAGCCTCCAGAGCAGAGACAGTGTAAGAATGCAAATGTTTAAAGCAGCAAAGAAGGAGGAATACGAGGTTGATTGTCGCACTCGTTGACATTCTGGCTCTGTTATCTTTCAAACCAAATAACTGATGTCAGCCAGACCTCAATGTAACAAACCCCCAGGGTGCCCTGTATAAAATGACGCAGTTATTTTATTAGTACGATAAGAAAGAAGTTTTCAACTTTGTACATTTGCGACAACCAACCAGCGGAATGTCACAAGCTTATTCATAATTTTGTCAAAAAATAGAGGCTAAATTCACAAAATATCTGAAAATTCACAAAAATTCACATTCCAAATCAGATATAAGTGGAAACTATGATCTAGAAGCAACCCTCACACAAACACAATGGGAAGCTAGCGAAGATTCTTTCTCTGGATAGACAAAGCACTTTTTGTAAGTCGCTCTGGATAAGAGCGTCTGCTAAATGATGTAAATGTAAATGTAAATGGAAGAAACTCTGATGATTGTAGTTGTACCAGGTGTAGTTGCAGCAGGTGTACTCATTGCAGGTGTATTTGTGTTCCTATGACAGGTGTAGTTGTAGCAAGTGTGCATATGGCAGGTGTAGCAGGTGTGGCTGTGACAGGTGTAGTTGCAGCAGATGTGGCTGTGACAGGTGTCATTGTAAAAGGAGGTGTGTCTATGGCAGGTGTAGTTGCAATAGATGTGGCTGTGGCAGGTGTAGTTGTAGGTGGTGTGATAATCACTGGAGTAGCTGTAGCTGGAGTAGTTGTAGCAGGTATGGTTGTAGCAGGTGTAGCTGTAGCTGGAGTAGTTGTAGCAGGTATGGTTGTAGCAGGTGTAGCTGTAGCTGGAGTCGTTGTAGCAGGTGTGCTGGCTGAGGTTGAATAATTAGCCCTCGTTGAGAGTCCCTAAATGACACTATAGTGATGGCTACTGCACTGACAGCATCATAACAAACTCTGCAAAGAAAAAGACATTGTACATGAAACATACTTGTTAAATTATCACTGCTTTACATACTGCTGTTTTTTGGCAAGACTTGTGTTATTGTAATACATTTATTCATGTTCAACTGATTAACATTTAAGTCAATTCAAGATACCAGTTTTTTTCAGTGTAGTGCACATGTCTGCTTTATTTGTAAAGGATGCTTATGAAAGGTTCTTTAAGCCATGCCCCTTTTGGTTGCCTGAAGAGCCAATAAACCTCAAACTAGCATGGAGGACATTCAGCAAAGTTACCTTTATGTGGTGATCATTTTTCATCTGGCATTTACAAGGAAGGTCTCTAGTGGGATATAATAAAATCTCCTGCTGTACCAAGTACTTTTTCACAGATGATATCTAAAAGAAGTTACACCGGGGCAAGCGCTGTTTATGTTTTACTGTATTAAGACCTGGATGCAGTTTGAGTGGGTTGAGAGAAGTTCTGGGGATGTATTTTACGGAAACAGTTTGGGTGACTGTTGACTTCCAGTGTTTGCAACATCAGCCTCGTAGTTTCAGTTCTAAAGTAGAAGCACAGTAAATTTGATTTTTTTCAGCAAACTATTCCTTTAAGATAAACAGACAAATTCTAATTGCCTGTTTTCACCTTCGCTAATGTTATTAGCCTAAGCACATCGCATTTCACCTTGTACATTTTAGCTGGAAAAATGGAAGTTCGTGAAGAGTTAGTTAGCTTGAAACCAAACCTCATAAATTCACTAAATGGTGTTGTGAAGGATTCTTTAAGAGATGCCACTTTTGGTGGCCTGAAGAACAAATAAACCTCAAACTTCCAAGAAACTAGCAAGTTTTATTCCATTAAATCTAGATGAGTGTAGTGTATAATGAGCTTGAGTTTGATGTCTATCGACACTTTTCTGCGACTCTTCTTATGTGCTATGTACTGTCTACTACCTGATGCCAGAGATGGCTTCAGGGCCTACAGCTGAAAACTAGCCAGTTTTCTAACACTCACACAATTATATTTTATATACGTTTGGTGCATTGTCCATAGAATATAAGTAAAAAAATAAATTAAGCAATTAAAAAGTTTATTTAAAAACTGCTTGTTCACTGTGTGCGTAGGTGTGGTAACTACCATCAAAATCCACAGTGCCGTCTCCGTTGAGGTCCATCTCCTTCAGAATCTCCTCTAGCTCTCCTTTCTTCAGTTTCTCTCCCAATAAAGTCTTTGCTGCCTCTTTCATCTCATCCAGAGTGATCTTCCCATCACCATCTGTATCAAACTAACAGATACACAGAGAAAAAGGTTTCAGTGTTTCAAAGACTGTTGCAGAAAAATCTGGGTCTGTTCTTGCTGCACACCCTGTCAGAGGTGTTCCATTCATAATATCTCATTGGTCATTTCATTAGCATGATATGAAAAGGTTTTACTGAACATTGCATTGTCCATATCGTTCAGCCCTAGTGTGTGTGGAGTAGATTACCTGTTTAAAGGAGGACTTTAGTTCTTTCAGTCCAAGCATATGAGCCGTTTCCACCATCATCCTCGGCCCCATCAGCTCACAGAAATCATCGAAATCCATCAGACCGCCCACTGCATACCCACACATATAAACAGACGATCAATAAAATAAGGAACAAGGCTTATTACAACAGAATAAGTACTGTAACAACAGAGTATGGTTTGTTATGACATAATGCTTGTTATGACAGAATAAGGCATAAGGCTTTTTAAGATAGAACAAGGCTTGTTACGACAGGGTCAAGTTTGTTGCGACTGCGTAAGTTTTGTTACGACAGAATGAAGTTGGTTAAGAGAAAATTAAGTTTGAATGAGGCTTGTTACGACAGAATAGAGTTTGCTAAGATGGAGTAAGGCATACTTCGACAGAATGAGCTTTGTTACAGCAGAATGAAGTTTGTTACAATGGAATAAAGTTTGTTTTGGCAGAATAAGGCTTGTTACAAGAGAATAAGTCTTGTTACAACAGAAAGAGTTTTGTGAAGACAGAATAATGTCTGTTATGACAGAATGAAGTTTGTTGCAACAGAATTAAGGTTTGTAATGACAGTATTAGGCCTGTTACAACAGAATAAGGTTTGTTAGGGGAGGATAAAGCTTGTTACAACAGAATAAGGTTTGCTATGATAGTATAAGGCTTACTATGAAAGAATGAGTTTTGTTAGAATAGAATGAAGTTTACTATGAACAAATAATGCTTGTTACCTTAAAATAAGGCTTTTTACAAGAAAATAAGGGTTTTTATGACATAATATGGCTTGTTATGACTGAATGAGTTTTGTTATTAAAGAATGAAGTTTGTTACAACAGAGTGAAATTGGTTACAATAGAATTACGTTTTGTTAAGAGAGAATGAGATTTATTATGACAGCCTGTTACAACAGAATATGGTTTGTTAAGCTAGGAAAAGCTTTGTTACAACAGAATAAAGATTGTTATAATAGAATAAGGTTTGCTATGATAGAATAAGGATTACTATGACACAATGGGCTCTGTTAGTTTGTTGCGACAGAGTAAGTTTTGTTATGACAAAATAAAGTTTGTTGCTATGTCAGAATGAAGTTTGTTATGACAGAATGTTGCTTGTTACCTTAGAACCAGGCTTGTTACAACAGAATTGAGTCTTGTTATGACAGACTGAAGTGTGTTACGAGAGAATAAGGCTTGTCATGGCAGAATAACATTTGTTAAGAAAGAATAAGGGCAGTTATGACACAATAAAGCTTGTCTCACACACATCCTGGACACTCACACCTCATCTTAATCTGCTGAATGATCTCTAGCAGCTCCATCTCCGTGGGCATGTAGCCCATAGTCCTCATGCACTCGGCCAGGTCCTTATAGTTCAGGTAGCCATCCTGATCATAGTCAAACTCCTTAAAGGCCTCCGCCAACTCTGAAAAAACACACAAAGATGTCTCCGCCTCTGCACAATTTCAACATTTTATTCTGAATTTCTAAAAACATCATGTTACACTCCCCAACCTCAGGGCCAGTGTAACCAGATTATTTAACCTGCAAACAGGGTGAAAGAGATGAGAAACAAAGTTTGCAGATGCTAACCGGAACCCAATACCCCAGCACGCCTACTGACCACTCCATGTAACAGCAGCTAGAAGACTTCAGCAAAAGTTTATAATATATCATCCATCCATCCATCATCTAAACCGCTTATCCTTCTGGGTCGCGGTGGGGTGCTGGAGCCTATCCCAGCTGTCATTGGGCAGAAGGCAGGATACACCCTGGACAGGTCGCCAGTCCATCGCAGGGCAGACAGACAGACATTCACACCTAGGGGCAATTTAGCACGTCCAATTGGCCTAACTGCATGCTTTTGGACTGTGGGAGGAAACCGGAGTACCCGGAGGAAACCCACACAGACACGGGGAGAACATGCAAACTCCACACAGAAATGACCCTGGTCGACCATAGGGTCCCTATAATATATCATGGATAATAAAATAAAATAAAATAGATATCACTATCACAAAACATATTATGAATGTGACAACACTTTGTGGATGTCCCAATCACAGTGAGTGATTCAGTCACTGAATCTTTTACAATATAAAATGTAGATGCCTACCTGGATTAGCATTATGGACAAATATAATGTAGTTTAATTCTGTAGGATTACAAATGCAGTAAAATGAATAAAATGCAGATATTTTAGTGTGTTTCCTAAACTTTCTACAATAAATACATCTTCAAATATCGGTTAAAAATATCAGTAAAATCTAAACATCTGTCAGATGCCAAATGGTTTTTTTAAAGCAATTATCTGCCAACACTGATATGATTCCAATATCATCATGCATCCCTAGTTTTATTGTTGTAAAAAGTACCATTGGTGATTTGGTAAACTACAGTAACCATGAGTAGTGGAAGGTTAAAAAAAGCAGTAAAGATTTGCCTTGACTGCACTTACATGCATATGCATATGCACTTATGCACACACACACACAAGCTCGTCCAGAAGAAGAGTCAGTTTGAAGATATTTTAGTTTCCAACCAAATGAACAGCATTATATTTGTCTGTGCAGAACTTAATTTATTATTATTATTATTATTATCATTGTAGTTTTATTACCGCAACAGGATGAATTGTGCTATTAGTTCAGTCAAGTCATCTCTAATATCATCTGAATTACAGGTACTCACCATCCAGTTCTGGTTGGGACAGCTCTCTCTCCTGAAGAAGAAATAGAGAGAAGGACAGACAGAAAGAATGAATCCCCCTTCTCAGTTTAATTCACCCCCCCATCCCCTACCTCTCATACTTCTGTCATCGTCTGTTGTTGTTTGTTAAGACCATTGTACTGTATTGTAGGGCAACCTTGTGATTATGAAAGATGTTATATAAATAAAACTTTTATTACTTTTATTATTAAGCAAAGGCCAATGTTTTGGAGAAAAATAGGTGAAGAGTCAGCAAAGACTGATCAGAAGTTCAACTGACGTTCACTATGTGAGTTTCCAGATTAGGGAAGGTGTAGGTCAGACTAAATTTGCTGGTCAAACCAAGGAAGAGTTGGATTAAGGGCAGTCAGAAACTCTTCCTGATTCAATTACACCCTATCCAGGTTTCCTCTGTATGTGGCGTCATGGGACATTAAAGCTCACGTAGTTTCAGCTTTGTTAATCGAGGTGATAGGACAAACGTCTATTTTCTTTTGCTATTAATCACACAATTAATCAATTGTCTCTCTTTGCTGTCTCCTGCACAGGTCATGTGACACCCTGGTGGACCTGCACATACTATCACCTTCAAGCTATATGAGCGTATCTCTATGTTATGTTGCTGTTAGAGCAAAACATTGTATCTTCACTTTTGTTGTTTTTAGTTTAGTTACTGCTGCAAACTGAAAAGCTTTGCAATGTACCGCTGCACATTGCACATGGGAAAACCTGCCCAATTTACCAAGTGTCCAGTCTAGAAAAGGGCATTTTCAGAAAAAAATATTTAACTAACCTGAACTATTAAATCAAACATTTTTCTGCCACTGAAGCTAGCATTAGAGCTAGTATGGCAAATGAGTTAGCAGCTAGCCAACATGGGACCCCCCAAAAACGTCTCAAAAAAAGTATATCTGTAGTAATAAAATGTCCTATATGTAATGCTTACTAAACACTAGAACACTTTTAAAAGATTAAAGTCTGACACCTTCTCACATCTAAAGACAATGTCACAGAGTTTTTAGTCACAGATCTCACAGGGTAACTGTTAGCAACACTGCAACTAGATTTTTGAGATTATTCCCCATCATGCACCTGGTGGAAATTTACAAGCAGAGAAACCTTTTCCTTCTCTGCCCGGTAGTGGTACTAATGTGAAAATACGCTGGCTAGGCCTGTAGAGATCTGGGAATGCTCACCCCAGTTCACTGTGGAATTGTATATTCTGGCAGATTACCATCCAGTTTTTTAATTAACCTGTAAAATGAGCAGCTACTTTTTTATTTAATATAAAGATTAATACATAAACAAAACATGCAGCGATTCAGCAGTGTTGATTGGGTGTTATAAACTAAACTATCCATAACAAATTAATAAAATAAGGAACCACTGAAAGTAAAAAAAAAAGAACAAAAATTTTGATGCTTCTCTAATAAAGCCATTCTTAAAGTCCTCTGCACATTTCCTTATATTACTGTTACACTCAGTGAACTTGAACTATTAAAACAGCCAGTTTACATTTTTAGGTCTATACTATTATTGTTTTAAAGTGGAGCAGATTTGCCTTTTTAGGAGAGATTTCAGGCACTCACATGCATTCTCTCTCTCTCTCTCTCTCTCTCTCTCTCTCTCTCTCTCTCTCTCTTTCTCTCTCTCTCGCTCTCTCTCTCTCTCTCACTCACTCTGTCTTGCGCACCGTGTGCACATGCTCGCAACTCTAGCAAGACTCTCATGATTTTATTCAGACACTGGAAATTTCTCTGTGACAGTGAAATTGCTTGAAGCTGTTTGGAGTAAGGCTGGCATCAAGAGTATTTGTCTCTGCTTTGTCAACAAAGTTAGAACATTTTTTGTCATTAAAATGTATGAGAAACAAACACACACACACACACACAAAGCAGTTCTCACTTACATCAACATATTGTGGCTGTCGGGACAAAATCTTGTATCTCTACTATTGTTTTCTATTTTTTGACACAGTTTGAAAACTCATGCTGTTTTTCATGATGAACAGACCAACAGAAATGCTCCAAAATGACTAGGAAGAAATCTTGTTCTTTTTTTGTTCTCCTGTAAAGTTACCTTTATAAAGCAGTTTTTTCTGCCAATGACAATATTCTCCAGATATTTGCCTTCACACAGTGTTCACGTTCCACCCTCAAAGTCAGTAGGTCATGAACCAGCTAACTGAGGTTAAAGAGCATCTGAACTGTTCTCCCTGCGTCCTGCTCCATCCCCCTGTAAGCCCTGTTGAGTCTTATTAACAAAGACACTGAGCCACTAATGAGCTATTGCTGTAGTCTGAAAGGGGTTTACATCAGATTACTCTCTCTATTCTGTGTACAAGATGTTACATAAGCACACACATATATGCTTTCACACAGAGATCAGATACAAAACTATAGCAACACCACACATCAGCATCATTTCTGTTTCTCAAAGCTCCTGATAACCTAACAGCACTGCACGATATGGACATAAAATATGATGTTCGATAAAGCTGTTGGATACCATTATAATGATATGAGAAGCAATAAATTATTATTAAAATAGTGCCTCTGACTGGACGTGCTGCAACATACCTTTGTTTTTGATGTAAACAGAGAATTTCTCATTGAAATAAATACAAAAAATGCAAAAGCACTGTTCAGTATTGTGCCAAATAAAGATGATGAAACACTAACAGCTAGTCACATCAGAAGTGCAAGCACATATTTGACTGCTAATGGTGCCCCTTGTGGAGAATTTCTAGCCTGCAAAATCAACATGTGAGGGAGTTCCATGAGCTTTATTCTTAAAACAGTCAGGACTCCTTGAGTCGAGGCAGACCAGTGTAGAGTCATGTGAGGGAGATTGGAGGTCATGTGATCTAAATATACAACTAAATATAAAAATTCTGACTTACTGAGTTTTGAAATGGTTTAAAAAAAAGGAACATTTGCACTAGAACACGGAAACTGGAACTCGATGTAGAATAAGGTTTTATAGACAGATGATATTTTAATAAGGATTACTTAGAATCATGAAAAACAGAATATGCTTTAAAGTTTGAAAGATTGAAAGTGAGTCTCCTGAAAAGAATAGAAGCTGTAATAAAGAGGGCGCACACAGTGAATACTGAAAAATCAGATTTTATATTTAGTGGTTAAAGCTTCTGGGTAATTTTCTGTTAAACTGTTTTTTTTCTGATGCTGAGAAAATGAATAACTTGTACTTAAATGCTGTTTTGACTGGAAATAAAGGTAAATAAATAAAAGTTGGTCTCTGACTTTTGCACAGCACAGTGTGTGTGTGTGTGTGTTTGTGTGTACCTGTCCAAAAACACTGTTGAGCAGGTTTGTGTATACTTCTTCATTGGACTTCTTGCTTTTTGATTTCTTTGGTGTTTCTCCTGCTGTTTTCCGGAGGGCAGGCTTAAGAGCAGCTCCGTCAGCTGCTTGGGCGGTTTTGGCACTGGGAAGGAGAGAGAGGAAATAAAGAAAGTGGGGTGACATGGGCAAGACTATAAAAAAAATTAAGTATAAAATGAATTGATTATGTAAGTAAGTAAGTAAATAAATAAATGTCTAGAACTGAACATTAATTAAAGTGAAATGGTTACTACTCTTTATGGCGTAAATAAAGCAGTCTGCTAGCACACTGTTAAAAGAACCAAAAAAAAGTCAATGTTTAACCCATTTTTGTCCAAAATTTAAAGGACTAATCCCACAGCACTTGTTCTGACTGGTTTAAGCATGGTCACCAATCTTTGGGGTGTTTCTGCAGGCTTTCATTCCAAACAAAACAAGAAAAAGTTTCCACCTGTTTACTCAGTTGACCCTCTATCAGTTCATCAGTTATACGAGATGAACTCCTCTTTGTGGATAAGATTGGTGACCCCTGGTCTAAAGTGATGAAATTTTGCCAGCTCAGTTTGTACGTCATGAATGAGCTTGAACCTATTATGGTACAATATACTAAAATATGCTGATGAGCGGATATGCCAGATGGCAACAAGAGCCACGGGAAGCAGCATGAAGCCAGGACCCTGGTAGTTGCTCCGGTAGGCGTAATGCTCAGCTTGGAAGGCCTTGCTAGGGAGTCGTTCATGCCACTTCCCATGGTTCAGATGCTGGCCTCATGCTGCCTCTCACAGGGCCTGCACTATTCTAGTAGCAGGTCACATGCTACCGCACTAGACTAGCATACAGGTTCACCACAGCACAGGTTTATTTTGACTCACTGAAAAAGTTTTTTTTGATTGGTTAATTAAAAATGGAATGTTGCTTTCTCTATGAATAACACAGCAGTTCCTTTACCTGTCAGTAGAGGGCGTTCTCTCTGCCTTCTGCGCCATTCTACAGGAAATAAACAGAGAGTCACTTTAGAGCTGCTTTTGAAGATAAAGTGCTAAAGTTGCAGATACAGAGGTCAAAGTTTCATGCAGTTATACATGTGAGCTGTCACTGTAGACGAGACAACAATGAACATGAATAAGAAAAAGAATCATACTACTACTGTTACTAATAATAATAACAGCACTTTTAGGTAAACGTGGGTGATATGGCAATAATGTACTATCACAATACTGCAAGACATTTTCATGATACACCTGATAAGTTGGAACAGACGAAGTAGTGCCACAAACTAAATCCAATTATAAAGGACCAAGACCAACATATTTAATTTTGTTGCTTGACTACAGAGGTGGGCGATGTGGGAAAAATGTATTATCACAATACTTTAAGAAATTTTCATGATACACAATATGTTATAATATTTCTTTTTTCTGACATCTGATATGTTGGAATTGACAAAGTAGTGCCATAATATAAAAATGCTATCAAAAACTATGAATCCAATCATTTGTATATAGCATTTCAAATACTATGCTCCACAAAATCCATTTAAACAGGATTAATAATGCTCTGCTTATCATTAAATAAGCAGTTGGGAAGTGTTTTTAAATACTGGCGATACCCACAATACGCTCAGAAAAGCATACTATAACAGACTGTGACATGATTTATCACAATAACAATAAATATTGTCATATTGCCCAGTGCTACATAACTATGAATAAAAGTACTACAATATTAGTTAACATTTCTGCAAGCTTGCTGGTTTGTAGAGCAGAGAGCTACAACTATCATTGTTGTTTCTAAATGGACAAAATATGGATGACATTTGTAGCAGATATATATGGATATTTATATTTATATATACACTTCCTGACAACACAAGCAGTATAACAAGCTAACAACATGTAAGTTGAACTGTTCGCTACATACAACAAGCAGAAATAAAGAAAAATCCACAAGAATTGAAAAAAAAGGATTTCTTCTTTTGTGGGCATTTTTGGTGGGAAAATTATTTGTTATCCTTTTTCCATCTCTTTGACCCATGTGCTTATAGTTAACCTTTATGTATTCAATGCAGAGCCAAGATTAAAGTCAGCCTGAAAGCTATATTAAGCGTATTAAGCATGCTTCTTCATTCTTGTTTCTCCATAATCTTCCATTAAAATATAATGTAATACAAAGAATCTCAGGAAACTGTCTCAATCTATGTCTATATATATTTAAGAGTCATAATCATCACACGGATAAACAATATTCACATAATTTTGTAGATCAGTTGATCTCTGTGTGGTACAGCAAAAAGCTGAACTATTCATTTTTCTATTTTAAAGTTTTGCATTACTGTTAACTGTTGAATAACTTTAATGTGTTTATTGTAAACTCTAAGAAAGTGACCCAAAACACCAAAACAGCCCTGGTAAAAAGTAAAAGTATCAATCTGAGAAATTGTAAAATGACATATTTAGTATTGTATATTTTTAAAATAATTTGCTTTGTTAGCAAATCTAACAGTGTTGCAGTGATGAGAATTTGGTCACTAACATTGGAAAATGTTGTTAAAAATCAATCTAAATCAAGAAAATCATTCATGTTTATCTTTAATTATTCAAGCATGCAATCACTGTTTGTGTATCCAAAAAAAGAAAAAGCAATCAAGTAGAGGCCTGGTAACAAACAGATTTTTTGAAATTTGCTTATAATTCAGTCTTTCAGAGTGGTTTGGTGTGGAATGCTTTGTTCTAGAGAAACTTCCAGAGTCTGAATTGTTGCGCTGGTGATAGGAACCAGACGCCCACCTCTAAAATCTCCCTCACAGAATGTTATTCCATGAAATGGTTATGAATTCACTGCCTGATGTCTGACACATTGTCTTATGATAGTAGAATATTTTGGCCGAAACTGTTTACAATCTGTTCATGGTGGAGGGGTGCATGCAGTCTGCTGTGAGGCAAAATAGTCCCCAAAGAAAACTTTCACACTGAGCATTATTTTACAATCATCAACATTACATATAAAAACTCTGAAGATGTGTAGGAGAAGACACTCAGAAGATACTGGCGGTTTTGGATAGTAAATAAAATGGCTATATTTGTGTTGTAGACATTGTGAACCCTGGTTTCTATCATCACTAGACTGAATACATTACAGTGGAATTCACCCAATAAACTAATAACAAGCAAAACAACCTCTAACTCCCCCCAGCTGCCCCACCATATCCTACCTTCAGTCAATAGAACAGGCCTCAGAAGAGAGGGATGAGGGATAAACAAGTGGATGCGCACTCCTCTTCCTCCACCACTCCACCAAGCACTACCCGAATGTAAATAACTTGTCCAGATCTTTCGACGTACAGCCTTTCTTTTGTCTCTCCTCCTCTCCTCTTCTGTCATCCCTCCCTCCATCAGAAGACTAAGAGGTGATTATCTGGCTAAATGTGAGCAGATTAGATGCAGAAACGTGCGAGTCAGTGTGACCAGATCAAAGCTCAGGACATTCACGTCAATGACAAACAGTGTGTACTAATTATTCATTCAGAGAACAACCTTTCCAGCCAAAATAGCCATTAAGTACGAGTTATTGATTTTTCAGGAGGATATTAAATATAAGACAAGACCACCTAAACTGTCTCCATCAGATAAACAGTACTTAAAGTCTTTGTCTTTGAGAGAGAGGAGAAAATCAACCTCCACTCTTGATTCAGACCTGAAATAATCCTGTTCATCCTTCCACTGTGAGAAGACAACTCAACACTATGAGTCTGAAAACATGTTCAGCTGTCAAGAAACTCTTATTGAAAAAGGATATATACATAAAGGAGGATCTTGGGACTAGAAAAGGCGTGTCAAACTGGGGACCTTCCGGGCCGGAGTACTGAGGAGCTTAGCATTTACCCTCATCTAACACTGAATTCAGTTCAAGAAGGCCTTGCCAATAAGCTGATGAGCGGAATCAGGGAATCAGTTGTGTTTAATGAGGCAGCGTGTTGAAATCTGCAGTGTTTTGGCCCGTGAGGACTGGATCCTGACACGTGTGAACCACAACACCAAAGCTGGACGTCTGAGATGTGTAAAAAGGTTTTATTGTCTGATGAGTCTATAGTTGTACTATAGAAGAAGACAAAGATGAAGAAAGTGCAACAAATGTCTAAGACTGAACTTTGGAGGTGTGGAAAAATATCCCTGCAGATTTCTATGAGAAAGCGAGTCTATGGAAATAATAGATTTAGTTTAGTCAAGCAAGCAGTAATAGCCTCAAGAAGTCAAGGTTGTTTAAATTAGACTGTTTACCTTAGATAATTAAAGTTTACTACGTGTACAAATTTGATAACATTTGTAAAAGGCTCCACATTATGAAAAGGCCAATTAAAAAAAGTAAAAAAGATCCTGTGGTCTGGAAAGCATTAAGTTCTGGTCTAGGGTGGTCTCAGTTCTGCCTAATGCCCTGGATTATTTACTTAAATGACAGTTTTCTGTTGTGGCTCTTTTATACAGCAAAAGCAAGCTGGTCAACCAGCATAACCAAGCTAGTCAACCAGTATGACCAGCATAAGCAAGTTGGTCAAACAACATAAGCAATGTGGTCAAACAGCATGACCAAGTTAAGCAACCAGCATAACCAAGCTAATCAACCAGCATGACCAGCATAACTGAGCTGGTCAACCTGCATAACCAAGGTAGTCAACCAGTATGACCAGCATAAGCAAGTTGGTCAACCACCATAAGCAATCTGGTCAACCAACATAATCAAGCTAATCAACCAGCATGACCAGCATAACTGAGCTGGTCAACCTGCATAACCAAGGTAGTCAGCCAGTATAATCAAGCTAATCAGGCAACAAGACCAGCATAATCAAGCTAATCAACCAGCATGACCAGCAAAACCAAGCTGCTCAACCAGCATAAGCAAGCTAGTCAACCAGTATGACCAGCATAAGCAAGTTGGTCAAACAACATAAGCAATCTGGTCAACCAGCATGACCAAGCTAATCAACCAGCATGACCAGCATAACTGAGCTGGTCAACCTGCAAAACCAAAGTAGTCAGCCAGTATAATCAAGCTAATCATCCAACAAGACCAGCATAATCAAGCTAATCAACCAACATGACCGGCATAACCAAGATGGTCAACCAGCATAACCAAGCCTGTTGACCAGAATAACTAAGCCTGTCAACCAGCATGACCAACATCACCAAGCTAGTCAATGAGCATAACAAAGCTAGTCAACCAGCATGACCAAGCTTGGTTGACAAGCTTGCACAAGTTGGTCTTGCCGGCAGCCCAGCTAAACCTTCAAACTCAAATGAAAACATACCCTATGTTGGCCCACAAGCCAAGTTGATCTGCCAGCCATTGGATGTCCAGCTTGTCAATCACATAGACCACCAAAGACCAGCTTAGACCATTTGAAAACAACTACCAGCAAAATTTAGTAGCATATATGTATTGTGGTGTTTGCTGCTATTAAAGCTGTTACACAAAGCTTGTGCATAAGTAGTTGTGCTTTATTAAGCAGTTGTAGTCGGCCACGGCCACAACAGCACGGCTTTTGGCTAACAGCTCGTACTACACTCTGCCCACGTCTGAACTCTTTCACTTCCAGCTTTGACTGACACCCAGTCTGCTCTGACACACTTCCCCCCTCAAAGGTAAACTAGCCCTACCTTCACGGTAAGAGTCTTTGTCAAATTAAACCCAAAGAATAACTACAGAAGAACAATATGTAGAATAAACATGCAGAACACTTCTTAAACATGCTACAGTACGTACAAAAGCAGCACCCAAAACTTGGTTGAAAATTGGAATGAAGTCATGTGTCATTGAAGTATTTGCTGCTGGAGTATTTGCGATGTAGTAGATTCCATATCGCAAGAGGATAGCAGGCCACTGTTGGCCCGGAAAGCGGCCGGCCCACTGGATTTTTGATCAGCGTTTCTGGGCGGCCCTCTGTTGGTGAAGCAGAGTATTCTACTTTTCATTGTTCATTTTGCACTCACAG